TTTTTTTACTTTTTTCCGGGTGTGTGTGTCCCGAAACTTGGCAACTGCCGGGGCATTTTGCAAAGTTGAGTTGCTTCCGGTGCGGGTACTTTGCAAAGATGGGATCCGAAATGTTTTGTCATCGTCCTTGACCGCGTGGCTGCGGCGGGTCCACTTGTAGCTTTTCACTCTTGAACTGTTGACTATTGGAATGTGAAGTTGTGACCTCCTCATCTCTGGATTAGGGGGTTGTCAGTGTGCACCTACCATCTTCACCCGAATAGAACACCCGGTAATTATCGCCGTATCTGGGCTAAAAGTTGTGCCAAATGTCTGGTCGGCGTGGCTCCCTGCGGGGGAATATTGAGGAGTTGATGTGGGGAACGGGGGTTACGGCGGCAGGCGATGGCGCGAGGTTCCATCGGTGTTTGTTTGGCGCGGCCATCAACGGGATGCTTCGGCTGAGGGTTCTTCCAGCCTTGATAACCTAGGCTGAAGAGGTCTCTTGCTCTGTGCTTCGTTTATGTGGTGTCGCGGGTTGACACGCTAGAGGAAGGGGAGGCTGTCGTGGTGACTAGCATAGTCTTCATGAGATCTTGGGCATGGTAGTGGCCCTACTCCTTTGCCCCTGCGCGAATCTAGTGGAGGTTTGTTGGGCAGCGCGGGCAGAAAGTAAGGAGCGTTTTCTCATGCGGAGTGGGAGGCGGGAGGCTTGTTATAAGCTGGAGCGTCAGTAAGAGCTGGCGGTTTCAGGCGTTCATTTGAGCTGGTTCATCGGTTAAAGACACGGAAGCAGGTAGCAGCACAATAATCGCTCTTCGCTTTTGCTACCTTTTCAAACTGTTTGCAGGTAGCAGCGCAATAATGACAGCGGCGATGGAGTAGGAGAATTTCATGCGAGTATGTGAGGTGCTGCTTCGCTCTTCGCTTTGGTTACCTTCTCAAATTGTTTTCGATGATTGCTCACCGGTTAAAGACACGGAAGCAGGTAGCGGCGCAATAATGACAGCGGCAGTGGAGCAGGAGAATTTCGTGCGAACATGTGTGGTGCTCTTCGCATCGGCTGCTTTTTCCAATTGATTTCGCTGATTTTAATTTTGCATCTTCTAATTTCCTATATTCTTGCTCTAATCTAGTGCTTACACAGTTATAAACTCAGCTTCTCAAATTTGCAAAAATAAACTTACAATTTATCTTCTATTTTCTGATCAGCCAAATTCTCATCTACATGTACACACATACACGTCCTTGAATTTCGACTATAATTTCTAAAAGTCTCAAGTATTCTCATCTACATGTACACACATACATACAAACATATATCATCCATTCAGAATCGCCAGCATAATTCGTAGGGATCTGTTCTATAACTACGTATCCTTGAATTTCGACTATAATTTCTACATGTCTCAAGTAAAGTTCTATCAGGATTTTCTAATCTTGGAGCCCGTAAACTTTGGAATCTCTCCGTTAATTAGTTTGTTGCTTATTTTAAATTGGTGATACGTGCACATGGTGGCAGCTGCCAAAAGTTGATTGGTGCAAGGGGCAGGGGAATAATTGTAATAGTCTTACTGCTGCTCTGCGCTTTCTTCAGTGGATTGTTCTTAAAGATGTAGGGTGTTCTCGGGGGTTATTGCATATTTTTGAAGAGGCCCTGCTTTCCCAAATTGCGATTGGCAAGTGTGTCATTAATAACTGCAGTCAGCTGGATCGGATCGTTCCCGGAGGGCTGAATGGTAAGAAGGGGGTGGGGGGAGCTCTATCATCACAAGGTGGGGGGTGAATGTCTCAAAGAGGGTAGGGGCGGAGTAGGGGGTTGCCCTATTCTGGGGCAGGGGCTGGTGTGTGGGTCAACATCAGTCCCAGCGGAGGCAGAAATTGGCAAGGGGTGGGGGGGCATGCTTTAGGTGGGAACTGCGTGCTCCTGGGGAAAGTGGGGTAGAGGGTTGGTCCTACATTGGGGCGGAGGGAGAGTGGGAGGCTCGCCTCAGCGAAGGCAGTGTAGGGCTGAGGGGGGAGGGGGAGGGGGAGGGAGGGGCGATCTCTCTCGAAGAATTCTGACATCCAGTTTGGTATTTCTTTCCATTTGGCTCGCCTCTGGAGGAGGCTGTAGGAATAGGTGATATCTGGCAAGTCATCTTCGACCCTCCGTAGGGTGGTTGAAAATTCAGTGGCCCTCAAAGACCAATGCTGGAGCAACGCTGGTCGGAGCCGGAGCCAGCGCCAGGTGGAGCAACTCTGTGACCTAGCTTAGTGGGGGCGTGAGGCCTGGTAGAGAGATCTGGGGGGCTGTTTGCGGGTGCAGTCTCAGTGGTCATCGGGGGTCATAACTGAAGCAATGCTGGCCGGTGCTGGAGCAAGGTGGTGCAACTCTGTAACCTAGCCTGATGGGAGCATGAGGCCTGGAAGAGCTTCGGTTCGTGCTGAAAACAGCCATGCTGGTGGTGGTCGAAGGTGGATTGAATAGGTTTCACCTATCTGATTCGTGGTTGGGAGGCTTGTTGACACACATTTTCTGAATGTTTCTGAGCTTTCCTTTTTCTTCAATTGTTCTTAGCCGAAGCCGGGTAATGGCCCTGGTAGCTCATTTTTGTATTCTGATAAGGGACGCTGGGCCCGGTTCCCATCCCTGTTGCTCCCCACGAATAGATTGGAGCATCGTCTCAAAAAAGAAAAGAAAAAAAAGACCGGGCGTTCTATTCAGGTGAAGACGGTAGCCTGGCAAATATTCCACATGTAAAGTACTTTTCAGAAGCCCTAAGCTAGGGAGAAGAAAGGGAAATTCAAAAATGACAGCCTTTTCATGGTGGACAACCATTCATATGGGAAATCTGTTTCGGTCTTTGGGATAACCATTCATATTGGAACATTTCTCAAAGAAGAAGATTACATGGGCCGTTTTGGGGGACATCCATTCGTAGTGCAACATCTTCAAAGCCTTAGCGGAGGGAGAATCCTCTTCTGATTTGGCAAGTGAGGGGCTTTGAATGAGAGTGGCGGAAGAGGTCCCCAGGGTTAAATTCAGATCAAAGGAGAGCAGAGGTCCAGATGAGAAGTGCAGGAAAAAAAAAGGGGGAGGGGAGGGAAGAGATCCACGAGGAAGGGGGGGTGGGGGGTGCGCAGGGGGGGCCGGAAGTCACAGGAGAACACCAGCAGAAGTCACAGGAGAACACCAGCATCACCATGAAACACTTTCTTATAATCTGACAACGCTACATCTTCCCTTTTCTGAACCTTTTTTTTTCCCACTTCTTTGCTGCAATCTCACAGTGATACCCCGCTGCAGTTCCTGAATGCGCAGCGATGTGCTACATGATTAAAAAAAAAAGAAAATTAATTGTTTTTTTAATTTTTAATGTTTTTTTAAAATTTTCTTTAAAAAAAAAAAAAAAATCCCGTGAACACGATGGTGCTCTTAACATCCATTCTCATGGAACAAAGTTCGACTTAGTACCGACTTACCCTCATGCATGCAAATACTTACCTTTGCTGCAGTTAATGATTTCCGATGCCTAGACAAACAAATAAGACGATTCATAATTTCATACCAACGGCCCTACTCAAGTTCAAATCAAGATACTACCAGATGACCAGATTCAAATCATTCTGAATTACCTGGGGCCGGTCAGTTTAATGATGATATCTCAAGGCCGTAACCCTTTTCCAAAAAAGAAAAAAAAAAAGATGATCCATCTCAGAGTCTCAGACCCTTCACCTCGAGAGATCAAGAAAACAAGACGGAGATGGGAGAAAGGCGGGACAAGGAAGGGAGACCCTTGAGCAAGCAAGCACAGGCCAAAATAAAGCACACGAGATGCTGTCTTATCAACAAAGAAGCTATAATAAGAGACTTGCCTGAAGATGCGCTTTCTCTCGTCAGGGTTTCCTGCATATGCCACCTTTATGATAGATGGTGCCCACCGCGAGAGCTCTGATATCCAATTGGGCATCACAGAGGATGGGACGACAATAAGGTAAGGTCCTCGCTCATTCTTCTTGTCGATAAGGTGACAGATCAACCCGATGACCTGCGTGTGAGTCAGCCATCACCTACAGCATTAGTCAACAGGTATAACACACACACACACACACACACACACACACACACACACACACACACACACGCACACACACACACACACACACACACACACAGAGGTAAACACAATGCATGCCACGGTAAAGCCTCTCTACCCAAGATAGGGAGCTGGGTGATGAGAGGATGATGAATGACAGGATCTGAAAATGGATGTCAATCGGACTCAATCCACCATTTTTATCCCTTTTTTTCCCCCCACGTGCCACGGACATGAGAACGAACGTTGAAGTTTGGCTTTCCAGGCCCAGGTAATTCAGGAAAGCTTCCACAAGGACTAGAACTTCAAAAACTTGGCTAGCCTACCTCTTTCCCTGGTGTCGATCGAGGCAACGGGATTTCAGAGTTGTTCAGAGATACTATTACTCGTATGATAATAATAATTCTGCCACGGTTCTCAATGAGGCAGGACCAGTACTGCAACCAGGAAGCAGTTTGTTTTCAAACAGGATGAGGGCCCAAATGTCCCCTTGGGTGAAAGTGTGTCCAAGTGCGGGTTGATCCCGGCACCTATCGAGTGCAACTCCGGCAAGCAAAATAGTCGACAAGCAGTAGGGCCTGGCCCAAAGTTTGCATTCTGTTACCGGGAATGCATGTGGGCTTAAAAGTTGGTCTAAAGACCTACATATGCAGAGGGGGGCCGGGGGGGGGGGGAGCAGGGAACGGTAAGGGGGGTTGAAAAGGACCTAAAGGGGTGTGTGGAGGTGCATTTGTTTCGATTTTCCTTAGTTATTTTTTATCCTGAATTTGGAAAGGCATTTTTTGCATCATTCACAGCGGCCTTCAGGCCAAAATTGTTTGTAGTCCAACGTTTCGCAACATACGTCTTCTAGATATATTTTACGAAGAGCAAATTACTGATTTTCCAAATTCTTTGACTTTGCACACCCTGATGGTCAGTCCAACTGGATGGTCAACCCAAAAGACTGTACGCGATACCGCACTGGACTGATACAGAAGGCAACACTCTGAGGTAGTGCTTTGGGACTTCCGTATAATTGGAACAACACAAAGCAGAATATCATGGCCCCTGAGCACGGATGACACACATAAATCGAGAAATGGTCCAATTTTTTCCCCTGGCTGATCCTGCCAGTAGTCATACGCTCGTCTCAAGGACTTAAGCAAATGCACGTCGCAAAAGGAGAGAGAGAGAGAGAGAGAGAGAGAGAGAGAGAGAGAGAGAGAGAGAGAGAGAGAGAGAGAGAGAGAGGTAAGCTGAGGCGTGATGCAATGAGCGGCAAGAGAGAGAGAGAGAGAGAGAGAGAGAGAGAGAGAGAGAGAGAGAGAGAGAGTTGCATGCTGCGCCTGCACACAGGCCCATTTGCAGGGGCCCGACGGCTGCTGAGGGCCCCCCAGGCCGCACGCCATCCAGTGCGCGCCCCGGAGGCCCGAGGAGGCCCTCTAGGCCGCAGGCACAGGGTGAGGCAGCACTCACTTTTATTTATCTATTTTTATTTATTTATTTATGATGTGAGGTGCTGTCCTATTTTTGTCGGTTCAGGAACCGTTTCGAACGTGCAGTCCCAAGGCACGGCCTTGGGCTGGGTGCACCAGACACACGGCTGAAACAGGCTCAGCCGCATTTTGGTGCCATGCTGCAGGGCCGAAACAGGCCCAGGCGCGTTTTGGCGCCATACTGCACCCAGCACGGTCTGGGCCCCGGTAGGGACCTCAACCGTGCAGGCCGTTCTAGGCCACACAACGGTTCGCCCAGTAGGGCCCAGCGCACTATATAGCTGGGCCTCCTGCTGGGCACTGGACAGTCCGGTTGCTCACTTCTTGAGCGACACGCTGCTGGAAGGGAGCTGCGAGTTGCTGCGCTAGTCTGAGCGCAGCACCACTGAGCTATGAGGAGAAGGCATGGGGCAGAGTGAGAGAGGCGGAGGCCTACCTGCAGCACCGGACTTACATGGCGCCATAGCTGCGACTCCACGTGGTACCTTCACAGAGTGACGACATAGTCAGGCGGCAGCTACCTGCAGCTGAGATAACAAGGAGGACGGCATCTTCTTCCTCCTCCTCGTCCTCCACCTCTCTCTCTCTCTCTCTCTCTCTCTCTCTCTCTCATCTTCTTCTTCTTCTTCAGATACGAGAGTGAGAGAGGTTATCAGCAGAGGATATCGGCAGAGGTTGCAGTGGGCGCATTGCCGAGGGTCTGATTCGACATTTCTGAGGCAGACATTGATTGGACATCGGCAAGGGACTATTTTGCACTTCGCTGTCGAGATCTTGGACTTCTCCCTCGCCTCCATCTCTGTCCTTCCTCTCCCTCCATCCCTCGTCTATGGTACCTCCGCATGTGCGTGTACAAGGAGGGACCTTTCTTCTTGGTGTGCGGTCCCTCCTCCTCTCACATGTGTGATGTATGATGGGATGACATGTCAGTCCCGGTCAGGTCAGGACTTATCTTGAAATCTTCCGCTGCGCTATCAAGTGTCATTTCGTATGTATCAGGATGCACATTGCTAGTTGATGATTCACTGACATCGCATTGTCCATTCAGTCCTTTTCAACACATTGCGGATCCTTGGCTGTACATACATTGCCCAACTGGGCATGTATGAGAGAGAGAGAGAGAGAGAGAGAGAAATGCAGCATCACGCTGGAGATAGAAGGAATGCAAGAGGAAAGCTTTGGGTAGGGTAGGGTAGGGTAACTTTTCTCGTGAAGTATCATTGAAGTGGAAATTGAAGCCCCAAAATTCTCTGCAAAATGGCAAATGTAGAAATGGAGAAAAAGCCAGTAATTTCTGGAGGCATGTGGGGTAACTTTTCTCGTAAGATTGCCTTTTTGTTTTTTCATGTATTCTATCGTTGTTTTGTTCTTTTCTTTTCCAAAGGGGGAAGGGAGGGTGCTGTACGCAGTCCCCCAACAGATTTTGTATCCATTCACACAACACCGGGTTGGGGATCATTACGTACGTAGCCCGTTCATGCATGCACTCAACAACATGACGTGCATCACGCCATTCGTCACCATTGCTGCAAATGATTGTGTCCCTGCTGGTCGCCACTGCGCACCACCCATCACCATCGCTGTGCTCTGATAGTACCCCTACCGTTCCTCCTGCCTGCCACCTCCCTTGTAGCCAGCTCGACAGCAGGAGTGGTAGGTACTTCTCCTCCTCTTCTTCCTCTTCTTCTGCATCGTTGTTTCCTTTTCTCTTTCTTCATCTTCTACCTATTTCTTCTTCTTATTCTTGTGATTCTTTTTTTTCATCTTCTTTCTTCTGATCCTTCTTCTCTCCTTGTCTTCATCTTCTTCTTGTTATTCTTCATCGTTCTTGTTTCTCGATCTTCTTCTTTTTCCATATCCTTTCTCTTCACCACCTCCCTTCTTTCCACCCAGCGCTCACACCCGAACTGTATCCGCCATCTGCCACCTCACCTCACCCCCCCGGCATACTTTTCTCCCTCTTTTGGCTTCCCTTTTGCATAACCTTAAAAATTCAAAGTTCAGTGGGAAATAAAAGACAGGTCACGGACCATGACGGATGTCATTACATCACAAAAATGTGTCATTCCAACCAAACTGATACGGCATGCACCAACTTGCCAAAAATTCCGGAGGAGGAGGAGGAGAATGGGGGAAGAAGAAGAAGAAGAAGAAGAAAAAGAAGAAGAAGAAGAAGAAGAAGAAGAAGAAGAAGAAGAAGAAGAAGAGGAGGAGGAGAAGGAGGAGGAGGAGGAGGAGGAGAAAGGAAGGAAGAAGAAGAAGAAGAAGAAGAAGAAGAAGAAGAAGAAGAAGGAGGAGGAGGAGGAGGAGGAGGAGGAGGAGGAGGAGGAGGAAAGAAGGAAGAGGAAAAAGGAAGAGAAGAAGGACCAGCGAGGGGGGTTGAGAAGGGGGAGGAGAAGGGGGAGGAGGATAGAAAGAAACAAACAAATAAGAAGAGAAGGAAAGAAAGAACACGAAGAAGAGGAAGAAAAGATGGTAGCAGTGGTTCTGATGATGGTGGTTGTTGTGGTAACACACGTTTAAAGACTGACATAAGAGACCTCAGTGCAGCCGCCATTAAGGAGGGCGTGGCTCATACCACATCCTAACGCGATGTAGCGGAAAACACAAATCCTACAGCATAAACTTGAGAGAAGGCAGAAGGCGAACAACAACAAGAGTTTGAAGCACACATCTGCTCAGAAGCAACTCGACTATCATGCGGCTCGGTTCCCAACTAACAGAACCTCGAGCCAAGCGAAGGATGGGAGGGGTCTCCTCAAGCAGGAGGGGGGGGGTTACTAAAGCAGGAAGGCTCGAGTTGTTGCAGAACGAACCTGGACAGTCTTGCCGAGTCCCATTTCATCTGCTAGAATTCCATTCAGTCCATTATTGTACAGCGACACCATCCAGCGCAGTCCATTCATCTGATACCTAATTGACCATAGTGATTGCATGATAGATTAGTTAGTGGCTTGAAGCACATAAGAACATGTCCATCTGATACCTCCTTGCATTCTTTTCACCTTTTTTTCTGAGGAAAATAGACAAAGGGAGGTAAGACTCAATAGACAAAACTTTAAAAAATAGTCAAAATCACTAGCTGCAAAATCTCCAAGTCAA